ATCAGGGCTACCAGGGGATGTATGATTTAAGGGGGTACCCCTACATTTAGGGGTACATCCAGAAACGGGGGGAATTGCTGTACTGGATAAGGGGATTATGATGCAGGCTGAGGGGAGGAGATGTGTGGGAGGTTACCAGGACAGGATTGGCTACTGTACTAATGACTGTAAATCCCTCCCTTGCATGGGAGCATGCTTTAAAAAGCCAGTGTGGAATAAAGCTTTCAGTTCTGCTCCTGAAACTGTGTGTCGTCCAGTTATTGGGATTGCTGTTGGGATACTGCTGTTATTTTTCCTGCTGGAAACCTTGCCTGTGGATTTACAAGTTACTTGTTCCTGAGCCTCACTTGGATTATAAGCGGAGATAACCTGGGGAATATTGCATCTCCGCTACACTCCGTACCTGCGTTCCAGTGACTCCTGTCTAATTCTGGCTTCTGACCTTGGCTTTCCTCCTGGACTACTCTGACCTCTGGCTTCTCTGATTTTGGCTTCCCTTGACCACGCTTCTGCTAATCCCTGCTGTACTGAGACTTGGAGCACTTTTCCTGGAAAGCCCCCGTGCACAGACTCACAGGCCAGGTGGCGTCTTACCTGGTCACCCTGGTCTGTGTCTACTTTGCAAGGGTGAGCGTATAACTCTGCGAGCTGGACTCCCTATCAGGTAAGATGAACTGACCAATGGAGTCCGCAGAGTTATACAAATTACTCACCTCCCTGGCCGAGCAAGTCTCCAACCTGTCCCAGAATGTTATGGATTTGCAGAGACGTTCATTGGCATTTAAAGGAGCAACACTTCCATTCCCGGAACATGTATGCCCAGAACCGTATGTCTTTATGCCTGACAGGTTCGACGGTTCCCGTTCTGCTTTTCCGATGTTCAAGACGGATTGTGAGCTACTATTTGCCCTGAAATCGAGAACCTACGCCACCGACTTTATCAAAGTTCGCTCCTCTATTAACCTATGTACCGGGCGGATTAAGGCGTGGGCACACCAGAAGCTGCAGGAGAGAAGTACTGTCTTGTACTCCTGGGAGTTGTTTATGTCTGCAATGGATTCTCAGTGTTTTGCAGCAAGAAAAGCAACTTCCAAGCCTACTTCAGGTTCTCGCAGAACCCGGTTGCCTAGAGAAGAGAAATTGTTTTGTGGATACAAAAATCCCATCATGTTGCAGCATGAACCCACTTTCAGGGACCCGCCTTGTAACCCTGTTTATACTCGAGCTAGCAGTGAAACTCCAGTCGACATGGAGGAACCCATGGAGATTGGCTTCACCAGAACTAGATTGCCCCCTAAGTAAAAAGACCACAGGAGAGCTCTTGGTCTATGTCTATACTGTGGGAAAAGAGGGCATTTCATATCTCTCTGCCCGACTCGTCCACCTAGGCCAAGATCCCTTCTGTCTGGTGCCATATGGACTTACCCTGTCATCCCGGCAAGACAGCCTGGACACTGCCAGCCCTGTCCCCGTTCTGTGACACAAAAGGGTACTCAGACTATGGCGAATGTCACAATCAGTAATCCTGATGAGTCTGCACCACCCCCACAAGACTCTCCTGTACAAACTGGCACCATCACCACTTCCTCCCTGCCCAAAGGAGAACTACCTTGTGATGCATCTAAGGAAAAAAATACAGAGAGAACGACTCCTGGGATCAAGGTACTTACCGCCTGCTCCAAGTCCATGAATGTCATTGGCCTCTACCCTTTAGTACCCGAAACTTGTACCATAAAATCCCAGGATGTAAAAGGATACCTTAATTATAAAGACTATCTTAGTGATACTGAAGAAGAGGAGTACCATTTCCAAGAAGAGTCTGTTCACGCCCAGAGGGTGTTCTTGACAGGGGGGTACTGTCACGGTTCACGCCGTGACATCCAGTCTGCCAGACGTGGTTGCTCCGGAAGTGCCTGATAGGGGATTTGAACTGTGGTTCTTCTGGATTATATCCTGCTATTCTTCCTCTGAGCCATTTCAGGACTTTGGGTAACTCATGTTTATTCTTGTATTGCCTGCAGTACTTGAGGGCTGGACTTCACCAAGGGCTCAGATCTGTCAGTAACTCTCCAGCTGAATCTGATACCTAATTAACAAGATATAAAAGCCTGCCTCACCCTGGGAGGTGTGTCAGTTCATTGACTCTGGTTCCCTTGTTTGGTTTCTGTTTCAGTTCCCTTTAGCGCTTGTTGTGTTCAGTTGTGTTCCTTCGTACTTGACCTTGGCTTTGTTTCTGACTACGTTATCTCTTTATCCTTATCTGTTCTGTTTGCCGGCTTGCTGTTTTCTGTGTACCAGACCCTGGCTAGTCCAAGTTTACGCTGTCTCTTTGTGCCCTTGACCTCGGATCGCTCCTGACTCTGTATCTCTCTCCTTTACGTCGAGTCCGGCCACTCTAAGGTCCGGTAGACGTACCTTCCCTCTGTACTGACATTTGTTTAGCTTAAATCCTGCGTGTTGGGGTATATTTTCGTTACAGTGTCACACAGAAAACTCCAGGTCTCCATGACCTACCATTTGACTAGGCTCTACTTTTCCTGTGGATGAGTTAACGGGAAAGAGCCTTTATGTGTTATCCTGTATAGGTCACATACATTCTATATACATACTGTACATATCACATATAACCTACACACATGCAGCATATACATTCTGCCATATTTAAAGGGACACTCCAGGCATCAAAAGTTAATTTCTGTAATTTTCAGCTTGTTTTGGTGTGTAAAGAATTCAGAAAATCAGAAGCTCCAGAATTACTGTATTAGTCCAAATTTGGACGCACTTCGATTTGCAACATAATGAATTGCACATGTCTAGTCACATGCCGGGGAGGTGTGATTAGGTCTGAATAAACAAAAACTAAAGTGATTTAACTTCTAAATAGCAGAGAATTGAGCAGTGAGAAAGCAGGAGCATATTTTATGTATCTACTTTTTTATGTATAATTAACCCCCTAAGGACTGAGCCAGTTGTACAAGTTGTGATCAAAACAAAACGTAAACAAAACCTGCCATCTGCGCTATATGTCTGTCCAACCGTAATTTAACTCTTTCATATTAAATGCACCCACACTTATTACATATCATTTTGTTCAGGAGAAACAGGCCTTTATATATTAAACATAATTTAACATAAATAAAATGTAAATTTTTTTAAAAAATTAAGATTTTTTTTTTATTTCTTTAGTACTGCATGGCATTTTAACTGTGAATGTCATAATACTGTTAGCTGTTACTGCAAAAAAAAAGGAACATATTTGTATTCAGTGAAGTCTCACGGGTAAAATAGTACCCCGCAAGTACAGGTTTTCTAGTGTTTTGGAAAGTAACAGGGTCAAATTTAGCACATTAATTTATTTAGTTTATACACATTGAAATTTGCCAGACTGGTTATGTTGCCTTTGAGACCGTAGGAGCCCAGGAATAAAAATTACCCCCATGATAGTATACCATTTGCAAAAGTAGACAACACAAAGTATTATAAATGGGTTATGTCCAGTCCTTTTTAGTAACCACTTAGTCACAAACACTGGCCAGTTAGCATTTTAATTTGTATGTGTGTGAAAAATGCAGAAAAATTATTTGAACAATAATTTTGGCCAGTGTTTGTGACTAAGTGGCCACTAAAAAAGACTGGACATACCCCATTTTTAATACCTTGGGTTGTCTACTTTTGCAAATAGTATACTATTATGGGGTAATTTTCATTCCTGGATTACCATACGGTGTGAAAATCAACATAACCAATCTGGCGAATTTTAATGTGAAAAAATAGAAATGCAAGTCTTAAGTAATCTAAGTACTTTAATTTACTTTATTATACTTTTTTAACTTTTACTTACTTTTAAAACTTTTTTACAGGCATCAGGCGGACAGCCACTGCTGGCATCGCATGAGCTGGCTATTCCGGCCATGTGATTGCAAGGACCCCACGATCACATGGCCCTGGAGGGCCAGATCGTGCAGTAGGGGGCTGTCTGATCTCCCAGGCAGCCCCCCAGATCGCAACTGCCGTCGTGGGATTGGCAGGTACCCGGTAAGTCCCCTGGATGGCAGGGACATTCTATGCCACCCGCCAGCATTTAGGACCACCCACAAAAACGCTATGAAGTACCCTAGCAAGATATTCAATGTAATATCCTGTCCTGACATTGTGTTTTATACTCCTCCTCCTCGAGACTATAAGCTCATTTGAGCAGGGCCCTCTGTAAGTTTTTGTTATTGTCTTATTTATTGTTAAATCTCCCTCTCTGATAATATTGTAATGCACTACGAAATATGCTACCGCTATATAAATACCAATAATAATAGTAACATGCAAGCCTAAGTGGCCGTGGTAATAATGAAGACAGGGCTTCTCGTAACAGTGAGATAGACTGGTCTAGAACATGACTTTAAGCTAAAGTTGTTTTGATTCTTATATTGCCCCTTTAGGTTGTAATTAACGGTGTCTAGCAATGCTTCTTTTAATTGTAGGAAAGAGTAGTGCTTTGAAGAAAGCTTATTAAACAACATTATTCTTGTTTATTCTACTATTCTATTAATTATATTGCACATAATGAAAAAGGTCTCATTCATTTCAGAATTTGTCATATAGACAGAGAAATTAGAATAAAAAAAGAATGTAGCTAAAAAGAGGGGCTGAGAAAGAATTAAAAAATAACTTTCAAAGATATGAGGAATATGTAGACCATACTCAGGATCTTAGTAGTTGAGTTGAAAACAGAATCTCAATTATTGTACAATAAAAACTGTGTAGAATAATCATTGTAAGAATATTTATTGACAGTTTTTTAAAAGAATCTGAAGAGAATATTTATTTAATATGTAGATTTTTGCTGAAGAAAAAAAAAATCATCAATGTGTTCACCAGGTTTTATATTTTGAAATTATTATTTTTCCCCAATTTGGATTGGAAATAAAGGAAGCAACAATTAGTTTTATGAATATAGAAATTACTATGATTATTTTGCTCAAAATGGACTGTTAAAAGGGATTTCATTAGAAATCAAAGGGACTGTCTAAAAGGGACTTCATTCGTGATTTAAAGTATGATTTTTTTGGTGATGGAGGCACAAAGAATGTAACCCTTGCTATGTTAGAGTTTAACAACCCTTGATTAATGTCATCAAAGGTGACCAATGCAAAATAAATGGTGGTGCCATTGTTTAGAGTGATGTTCTCTGGTGTGAAAGTAAACATTTCTTTAGATCCTCCTGGCTTTGGTGCAGTACTTGGAATGTTTAGAGCAGTGGCTTTCATAAAGTTGTTCAATAGTTCTTCAAAAGAGAGGCTCATTCTTAAATCATATCTGGTAACTGAAAAAATAGCAAGAAACAGTTTCAATAAAATAATAATAATTATTATAATGCATTAAACTATTTCTTGTTTTGTATTATAATCTAGTCTAATTATGCTTTACAAATTGACAATTTAATTCTCACCCTTTTCCTTGCTTTTTTTATTTGCTTGTTGTAATTGTTTGTTTGATGTATAAATGGTCCATTTTGAGACAGAATTAACTGTGAGGTAGTTAACTGCCTTTCTCAGCCCTATTGATGCACAGCAGACCCCAGGGTAAGTAGAGTGGCTTGATGATTAATCCCACTTCCTTTACCCTGTATGTACTGAAGGAGATGGTGAAAAAAAAAGGTAGATCTGGTGGCTCCCAGTGATCCATACAATGGAGGTTAATCAATACCAGGCATAGGCAAGGTCTACTTTTTTTTTTTTTTTTTTTTAAATTAGGTGCAACCTGTCTGCTGCATTTTTTTTTTTGTATACGCACCCCCTGCCACACAAATGACCTGCCACACAAATTACCAGACACACGCACACAATGCCACATACACACACAATGCTACATACACATACTGCTTTACGCACACACACACACGATTGGGTGTTCGGCTGAATTTTAAAATTCCAACTTGAAATATACTTTAATATTGAATCAATCAAAGAGAGCATTAGGAGAGCTGCTTGTAACCACTTCCACTTAACAAATGTGAATCACTAAATTACAGTTTGAGAGTGGCTACAGGGTTAGAGGGTGGAGTCAAATACTTGTGGTGGGTCTACACTCTTAAAACTTCATCAACCAACACTGAACACAAAAGTTAGATTATTAAAAAAAAAAAAGGCAAGCTTATTACAAACGATGTAAGCCTGTATTGTGCATATATTATGATGTCCGCTGCCTAGAGCTTTCAAGTTTGTGTAAAAGAATCATGCCAGGTTTTTTCCAGCATCTTTTTTCAGAATTTTAGCTACCTGAGCTGAATCATTTAGGGCCCAAATCAGGACAAGGAAGGAAATCTGAGAGATACCCACAGGACAGTTAATGTATTGTGTACTTTAGACAAGTTAAGTAACTGAAACAGTAACTAGCATTTGTCGACCTCAAATACTTCCACTATTGGTTTTTCTTTTGTGTTTTTTTTTTAGAATTAAAGGTGTTTAACTTATTCTGGATCAAATCAAAGAATGTTTAGAGCAAAATATATTTTCTGATTCATGCCAAGAAACAATGGCCTGATTTAATTATTTTGGATAAGTCACCATTCTAGTTTATGGGAATTTTTGCAGATATGTAATTTGAATGACAGATGCTATCACTTGAAAAGCTTATTCTGCAGAATTCATTTGAGGCCTATGTAACTTAAAATGCCCAGATCAAAGTAATTACCTGTAGCGGTCCAAGTCAATGTAATTTGGGTTCCTTGAATTACTGCATCCAAGTCAGTAATTTGGTATGGTTGATAAATATCTGGTAGTGGTTTTATTGCCTTTGGTTCTGGTGATGGAGGCACAAACAATTCAACTCTTGCTAGGTTAGAGATCTTCGACTGTTGATTGATCTCATCAAAGGCAACCAATGCAAAATAAATGATGGTGCCATTAGTTAGAGAAATATTCTCTGGTGTGAAAGTAAATATTTCTTTGGATCCTGCTGGCTTGGGTGTGATATTGGAGATGTTAATAGCAGTGGTGTTTACAAAATGATGTAATAGTTCTTGAGATGACAGGCTCATTCTTAAATCATATCCTGTAGCTGAAAATATGCCATGAATGAATGTCAATGAAATTTTACAGAAATATTTATAGTAGATAATTGTTCAATTCATTTATAATCTCAATGCATTCAATAATTTATGTAGAATTCTGCATTATCTGGTCTTGAAAGTATGCATTGTTATTTGAAAACATTATTCAACTTTCTGCCTCACTTTATTAAATTGTCACCCTTTTCTTTTATGTTTATGCCTTTTTGTGGTAATATTTTCATGTTGTTTGGAAATACAACAGCATGTACTGCATAATATGTATATACTTATCACTTGAGCTGTAGATGGCACTGTGCAGTTCAGAGAACTGTTTATATATGCATATGTATTCGTTGGTACTCACAGGAAGGAAGTTCTTTTTTTTACTTGCTCTATGTCTCTCTTCCTTTTACTTTTCACCATGCTGGCTGCTGTTTTAAGTAACTAATATGTTCTAAATGTTTGCTGTTTATCCACACAAGTAAAGCCTAATATGCTTCTTCACAATCTGCCAGTGTTTCTTTTTGATGCATAACCAACACATGGTACCTGTGGATCTTCCTCCTTTCTTATGTAACCATCCAATATTATACTGTACAATGCACCGTTCTGAACAAATTTTCGATGTTGACCACTATAAGAATCAAATACATACCATTTCCTTGATCCAAGTCATCTCCTGTTGCTGTCCAAGATAATGTAATTTTGGTTCCTTGAATGACTGCATCAAGATCAGTAATTTGATAGGGTTCGAATCTGTCGGAAGGAGTGCCTGAAGGTACATTGGATATTATGAACGTATCACCAGAAACCTTCCTACTGAAATGTTCTACATTGTAGCTTTCAATGTTAGGCCTCGGTGGTTTAAGCTTTATATCACCTGTAACAAAAATAAAAATGTGACTCTTTTTTTTTGTGACAAGAACTGAAAAGAAATATCATTCTTTGAAAGTTTAGAGATAGAATTTAAATATGGTTTAAATTATGCCAATAGTGCAGTGAGATGGAGAGCTGCTGCCCATAGAGCCTCTCTGCCAGTGCTCTTTGATGGAGCCCTGATATTTGTATCCTGCCCATTGCTGTTCCCTGTGTTGTTACTCCCTCTCTGTATCTATTAAAGATCTCCGAACAGTGCAAGAAAGTTGAGATCCAGAGAACTGATCCAGAGCATGTTAAGGTCCCCCCAGTATTCTACCAGGAGATAAGCATGCAGTATTCTCAATTAATGTTTTATTTTAATAACATTTGCATTGCATGTCTTCTTTTTCTGTAAGACTTTGTCTGATAGTTTAGGTGAAGGTCTCAGTGTGTACATGAGTATGTCCGTGGGAGTGTTTCTAATGTGAATGTGTTATATAGGCTGTATTGTTCTTCAAATCACATGCAATAACACAGAGTCCACAGTGTTCTGGTGTACCTTACAAAGTGCAGCAAGGACCATGAAATATAATTTCACAACCATACTTTATCCACAGTGATTACAAAGATAAAGAAAGAGGTATAACTGTTCCTAAAATCAACTATAAAGAAACACTTGTGTCAAAACAAACTAAATGAGTACTCACACCTGAAATAGCTATCATAAGCTCAAATATGGCAGCATTGGCAGTAAAATCCCCAAGAGAGGATATGGTGTAGTTTTTTCTTTCAAAATATGATTGATTTATTTTTTTACAAATACATCTTACTATGTATATTCATAGAAGGCCACAAACTATATCCTCAGATGGGGATTATACTTTTCATGTTCTCTTAACTGTGAATGCTCATTTGGATTACCTTTTAATATTTGTGTACATGCACATAATTAGTCTATGATAATATCCTTCTGTGTCTTTTACAAAAATAAATTATTGATCTGCATATATGTAATTTGCATGTTTTGACACCAAGAGTTTGTTTATAGTGGACTGTGGGTTCCTTTCTATATATTTTATTGGGACCCTTGTTTGTGTTGCTACTGCCTTTTGTTTTATTTGTTTATTTGTTATCATGAAATATTTTGTCCCACAATTATCGCAATATAGTGCCTATTTAATTGTACGTCATACATGAATTACATCGTTTAGCTGTGTTGCATTGTCCTAAATATTGTTAAACATGATTTATCTTAGTAAAACATATACGGTAGTTTAGAGTTATACTGATGAATACTTTATGGAAATGTCTTACCATTTTCAACAAAACCAGGCATGTAAAAGGCACGATTTTTTTGAGCACCTAGTTTACTTTCATTCTTTGTTGTTTCTATATGTACTCTCAAGCTATATCTGCCATTTTTACCATATGCTATAAAGAACTTGGAATATATTCCATCATTCCTGAGAATATCTGCACCTAAGAATTATAAAAAGTAAATGTTAGTAAAAATTGTGAAATAAGAACATAGAAAAACATATACATATATACACACATAGAATAGTTCTGCATAATATACATACATGTTGTTGTATCAACTTTACTTTTAAATAGCACCTTAAACTTAAAGCAAGTAACCTATATAATATATATATATATATATATATATAGTGATGACAGTTTTTATTTCAAACATAAATGTTGTTAATGAAGATTAAAGGGTCACTATAGCCTCCAAAACAGCCTTAGCTTAATGAAGCAATTTTGTGTATAGATCATATAAGATTTGACAAACAAATACAAGAGGAGCTGAGGGCCATATCCCAATGGGAATTTGCAATGTAGATGATTAGTATTTCTATTTTATTAATAGATTAAGGATTTATTTTTTTATTTTTCCTTTCCTCACAATACTACACGTACTGACCACATAACTGTTGCACTATCAGGTGTGGCATTTGCCAGTCTCAAAACAGATTGCAAGTTTTTATAAATGCTAGCAAAAATAAATCTGTATACATCGTTCATGTAGATGTACACGTTTATCAGTGTGAAAATATTAAAGTACTAGTAATGCTGTGAAATATTATTCTATAAATGTTTGATGTTATGGGCTTTTTTTAAATATATATATATATATATATATAAACCTATTGCATTAAACATTTATAGAATAATATTTTAAAAATAATTATATATTGTTCCAGGTGTGCCCAAATTCCTTTTTGTCTTTACCATGTACGTTTGGAATCCAGACCAGATTCCCTTTGAGGTTAAACACCCCGCCCAGTCCCCAGCTTCAGAGGCCCCTTTGAAGTTGACCACAGGTATATATTTGAGGAGTTTTTGGATAGTAATGTCACTTTAATTAAAATTTTAATTAAGCAGATTTATAATTTGCATTATGAGTATATTCATTCAAACACTATCACTTTAATTGTTTAGTTTTTGACACTGTTTTTAATTGCTTTTATCACATTAATTTTGTATTATATATACTTACAATGCTTTTACAATAGATTAATTAAATATACTTCAGCTTATTTAGCACTATCACTATTTAAATTGTCTCCCATGTTGAATTTAGTGTAGGACCCACCAATATTGGGTTACTGTGAAGTAGTAGTAGGCCCAACACATATGGTGGAACAGACTCCCCATATTTATTTGCTGGGATAGGTGATTTTAAGTAGCCCTATACAATTTAAAAATGTTTATTTATGTTTGAGCTGTAAATTAATCTGCTTTGGATACCAGCAGGACTTGTGAAAAACTTAAAGGAACACTATAGGGTCAGGAACACAAACATGTCTTTCTGACCCTATAGTGTTAAAACCACCATCTAACCCCCCTGGGTCCCTCATGCCTCCATAAATATAGCAAAATCTTACTTGTATTCAAGCCTGAAGCTGTAGCTCTGCATGCTGTTTGCCTCAGAAAAACAAGCTGTCTGCTGACTTTATCAGAAGTGGTGGCCTGATCCAATCACGATGATTCTCCATAGGATTGATTGAGACTGACAAGGAGGCAGATCAGGGGCAGAGCAAGCACAATTCAAACACAGCCTGGCCAAGCAGCATCTCCTCATAGAAATGAATTGAATCAATGAATCTCTATGAGGAAAGTTCAGTGTCTGCATGCAGAGGGAGGAGACACTGAATGTTTGGATGCATTTTAGGCAGCCATGACCCAGGAAGGATCTCTAACAGCCATCTAAGGAGTGGCCAATTAAGTTATCACTAGGCTGTAATGTAAACACTGAAAAGACAGTGTTTACAGCAAAAAGCCTGAAGCTAATGATTCTACTCACCAGAACAAATTCAATAAGCTGTAGTTGTTCTAGTGAGCCTGTTCTTCCAAACCAAATTCCTTTTAAAACAAACCTAAATATATAGATTCAAATTGGATTTACCTATGGAGTCTCAAGCATTGACTCCACGAGTAATTTCTGGATGGATTGATTTGTTTAGAAGATTAAGAGGACTTTGATTCAGATGAACCTGTGTAAACTCATTTTTGCACAATTCTAATGGAAAATAGAATTAAAACACACAATGGATGGAGCAATATGAAATGAGAAACATACATTTACATAATTGAGGGTGATTCCATTTATTTTTTGTTTAGTTGAATGCATAAATTTGATACAATGATGTCATGTTTTTGGTGTGAATGAGATATTGGAGAGATTACCAGATCTGGATGCTAGCAGGATGTTTGCTGATAAAACAAGCCTTGCTATAGGGAAACTGAGCTTTATATAATTGAGCACTACAAAATATTTTGTTTTGGTGTTTTTTTTCTTTTTCTTTTATTTATAGCATAACCAAGTGTTTGAATTGTTTGAAATCTACCTGCTCCATTGTCCAAAAGATCCAACTTGTGAATCTGTCCATCCTCTGCTCCAATTTCAGCAATCACAGATGCACCAAGAATTGGAGAAAAACCTTTTGTTACAATTGCATACAAAACAACTGGACTTCCATGTATGCCTGACACCTCTTTCATATATGCCTCTGCGACAATAGGGGGTTCATTTCTATCAGCTGCTCTGGAGTTTACTGTTAATCCCAGCACTTGTTTTACTGTCTTAGTGTTACATATACTATATGTCCAGGAGCCTCTCTGTAGAAAAATAATACAACCATTATTTATAATATTATATTGCTATTAATATAGAAAATTTCAACAACATTTATACCTGCTTGGTTTCTTACAATTCATATGTATATTACTGAAAATATCATATCACAAATAAAATATTTTTAAAAATACTTAAACTATGAGCTGTATTACTAAATAACTATGTAAACTACCGTGTTTCATTTAATCTAACTTGAATATTCTGATTTGTTGACTAAAGTATTCTGGTCTCCATGTGTTTGAATTAAAAGTGAGATAACTCAACAAAATACGATAGCATAGAAAAACTGGACAGACTGGTTTAATTAATGAATTTTCCCATAGATATGCTAAGCTTGCCCATTGAATTGTAATTGACCTATAATGCTTCCAAACATTATACTGCATGGTGGGTGATAACATGATCATGTCTGATCAAAAGCAATAATATACATTAGACAAAGTAGAAACTAGAGCTTAATTGCAGACATACATGCATGGAACAAGGCTTATGGTCCTCACCTCTTTGACATTGAACAATGTACAGTGTATATATATATATATATATATATATATATATATATATATATATATATATATATATATATATATATATATATATATATATATATATATATATATCAGGGGTTTCTTCACTACTGGTGAGTACACTTGTATATTTCTTATATATAACTTTTAAATGTGGGTACATTGACCTTGAGAAATGTCGGTTATTTTTTTCAATGTAATACCTTCTTGAATAAATTCTCCTTTTTTCACTTTCAAAGTCCTGAGAGTGCATCTCTTAATTTTTGCTACCATGCAAAGTAGTGAAATTGATATATATTATCCGATTGGGTTATGTTAGAATTTGGTAATCACACAGTAACTGGTGTAAGTGTGATTTACAGGCCCCCAGGACAAATAGAAGAGTTAGATAATCTACTAGTTGAGGAAATAGCTAAAATGACAATTAAGTTATCACCATGGGTGACTTTAATCTTCCTGATATATATCAATTTCACTACTTTGCATGGCTGGCTGGCTATTATAGAAAAGTAGTTGTAAGCCGCATGAATTTGCACAACGTCAAGATCACCACCACCACTGATCTAGCTTATGGTGCTACATGCATGTAATGTCAGTGTAGGACTGTCTCATACTCTGAAATCACATTTAAAACTGTGCATATCTTTGCATATTGCAGACTAGGCATTGGTGATGTAGCCATAGTACATAGGAAAGAGAGGAGGAGATTATAAGAATGAACGTGACATGGGAATTTGAGATCAGGTACAGAATAGTTAACGTTTAAAGTAAAAAGGTGAATATCGAATTTTGAGGGTGATCATTTGACATGATGGAGGAGAGTGGGCAATTGATAAAAGGGCAAATGATATGGAGAAGAGTGAGTAAGGGAGGAGAAAAAGCTGAGATTGAAAACACAACACTTGAGAAAGTGACATGGTAACTGAGAACATTGGGTAATTTACATGGGAATAGAGAGATTGGGTAAGTGACAAAGGAGGGCTAATTATCAAAAGAGGTACAGGAGAACGGGAACATGACTATAGGTTTAGCTGTGATGGGTAAGTGATATGCAGACAGAATGTGAGGTAAGTAACGTACACAAATTAAAAGATAATTAAAAAGAGATGAAGCTAAGGTGATAACATAAAGGAAAGAGATAATGAAATGTCATAAAGTGGCCTTGAAAAAATTAATGATCTGACCTAGAAGTTAGGTGAATATTCAAAGGGCAATTAATAATTGGTATGCTTGTTTACTAGAGATAAACTGCACTGTTTAATGTTTAGGAGCTATAAAACATGTATATTATACTGTACCTCGGCTGTGCCTGGAATTGTGAGACGGGCCGATTTGGAAAATGGGTCACTCACAAACGTGCTTTTTCCATAAACGTGTCCATTTGGATCAGTTAATGTAATGCTAGGGCTTCCAGCATCCCATGTAACCAAAAAGAAGGTATCATTCCCTACAGTGCTGTCGATGATCACTATTCCATCCAAACAATCCCCCGGTTTAACTGGTATGGTGACACTTTCAATCTGTAAGAGAACCCACAAATGATCAGGAATGCCAAAAGAGATTCTATTTTGGTTTGGTGATGGTAAATGTCATCTGAGTCTTTTTAATTATGACATCTCATATAGCTTGGTTGCTACATCTAGATGCTGCTTCAAAGTGTGTTATTGGAGATATTCTGGAGAGTATAAACAGAATCTTCAACTGTCTAAGATTTTGCTAAGAGTTTTCTTTTTTTACTGTTACAGGTAAGAATCATCTGTAGGAAAAGGTTACTGATTGTACAAGGTTTGATTTCCTGTTGGTAATTGGTAAGGCATTTGATTTGATTTGATTAGCTAAATACTTACTATTGATTGTTAATTAGCTATTGTTTGCAAATAAGCATAGGCCTACATAGGTGTTAAACATTCCCAGTGGGTGGGGCTTTTAGGAGTTATATAAGGGTTATGGTCATTAGCTTGGCTAATATAGCTTGGTTGCTGCTTCAAAGTGTGTGATTGGAGATATTCTGGAGATAAACTGGAGTTAATCTGAGGTATACAGGAGGACGAAAAAATAAAAAAATAAAGACTTGTTTGATTTAAATGAGTCACCTCATTAAAATGGCATACTTAGTTCAGTGTAATAGTTGTTATGTATTTGTTTTGGTGAGGCCTAATAGAAAGCAGTTGTTGTTGGGGGATTCTATCATAAGAGGTGTGGAGAAGGACAATGGTGATTTCTTCCCGGAGCTACTGCTCAGAGACAGGAGACGTATTTGTAATATTGTTAAGTGAGCATGGCAGGAAGGGGAATTGGATGTACTTGTCCATCTAGAGACAAATGACTTGGCTTGCAATGAGGTTTCAGAGGTAAAGGATTTTTTTTGTGTTTTTGTCAATGATATACGGCAGGTTGCTTCCACACTGTCATTCACTGAAGTTCTGCCTGTGCATAACACTCAGAACAACAGGCTGATGCGTATTAGGGACTTTAACTTGTGCCTCGGTGAATGGTGTCAGAAGCAAGGATTTAACTTCATTGCTCATGGTAGCTCTGTTTGGAATGGAAATAAACTGTGCAAAAAAAGATGGTTTGCATCTTTCTCAAAAGGGAACAGATATTCTCAGTGAGCAGTTTAGATATTTTGCTAGGATGTATTTAAACTAAGAGGGGGGTGGGGCAAAAGGGTGATAAAACATCAATCCAATTGCCCCCCAAAACAAGGACAGAAGGTGTCTGTAGCAAGTTTGTTAAGAAAAAATTATAAGCTAAGAGTCATGTCTACAAATTCCAGTTTAGGGAATAAGATCCATGAATTTGTGGCAATAATGGCAACTGATAATGTAGATTTAGTTGCGGTTACTGATACATGGTATAATAAGAAAAATGACTGGGACATAGCAATACCAGGCTACTCTTTATATAGAAAAGTAGAAAAGACAGGGAAGGCAAGAAAGGGGGAGGGGTGGCCCTGTATGTAAAGGGTAGCATAAAATCTAGCCTAAGAAAGGTTAGTGAGGTGAACATAGAGTCCATTTGGGTTATGTTAGAATTTGGTAATCATACAGTAACTGGTGTAAGTGTAATTTACAGGCCCCCAGGACAAATAGAAGAGTTATATAATCTACTAGTTGGGGAAATAGCTAAAATAACAATGATGTTATCACCATGGGTGACTTTAATCTTCCTGATGTGAACTGAAAAACCAAAATAGCTACCTGTGCCAGGAGCACACATATTCTAAACTCCCTACTGGGATTGTCTCTAAAACAAGTCATTGAGGAGCCAACTCGTAAAGAGGCCATACTAGATTTAAAGTTAACAAATGGAGTTTTGGTATCAGATATTACTGTAGGTGAAAGTTTAGGATCCAATGATAATCAGTCAGTTTGGTTTAATATAAGCACAGTGACTGAGTAACACCAAACAAAAACAAAAGTTTTAGACTTTAGAAAAACAGACTTTTCTAAAATTAGAATTTGTGTAAAGGAGTCATTATCAAATTGGAGCAATTTAAATGGAGTCCAGGAGAAATGGGATAATTTTAAAGTTGCACTTCTGAAGGCAACATAAAATTGTATTAGGCTTGTCAGTAAAAGCAAAAAATTCAAGAAACCACTGTGGTACTCCGCAGATGTGGCCAAAATTGTAAAAAACAAAAAAGTTTGCATTTAGTAATTATAAAAAAAACAGAGTGAGTAAGACTGAATTATCGATAAGATTAGGCAGAAAGAGGCTAAGCATGTTATAAGAGCTTCCAAATAACACACAGAAGAGAAAATAGCACAGTCAGTAAAAAAAGAGGACAAAACATTTTTTTATATACAAAAATGAGAAAAGGAAAGTAAAATAAGGATTAGTTATATTAAAAACAAAAGAAGGAATGTATGTAGAATAGGATAGAGGTCTAGCTGACTGCCTCAATGAACATTTTTGTTTGGTATTTACAGATGACAATAAAGAAAAGGGGCCTCAGTTAGGAAAAAGGACAAATTAGTAATTTGTTACATGTGAGTTTGCAGAGGAAGAGGTTCTATTTCAACTGTCAAAAGTAATAAAAAATAAGTCAATGGGACCTGGTTGAATACACCTTAAGTTAGTAAAAGAGCTTAGAGGTGTACTAGCAAAACCATTAACATATTTATTGAACTAATCATTGTTAACAGGAGTAGTCCCAGAAGATTGGAAGTTAGCAAATGTTGTGCCCATTCACAAGAAAGGTAGTAGGGAGGAGTCGGCAACTATAGGCCAGTAAGCCTTACTTCAGTAATGGGGAAAGTAATGGAAACCATGTTAAAGGATAGGATTGTTGAACATCTAAAATCACATGGATTACAAATTGCAATGAGACAACATGGGTTTACTTCAGGGAGATCATGACAAAATAATCTTATTGATTTTTTTTTTTATTAGATAACTAAAATAGTAGATCAGGGTGGTGCAGTAGTCATTGCTTACCTAGATTTCAGTAAGGCTTTTGACACTGTTACATATAGAAGGCTTATCTATAAACTGCATTGTTTAAGTTTGGATTCCAATATTGTTGAATGGGTAAGGCGGTGGCTGAGTGACAGTCAACAGAGGGTTGTAGTCAATGGAGTATATCTGATGCATGGGCTTGTAACCAGTGGGGTACCTTAGGGATCAGTACTTGGACCCCTTTCTCTTTAATATTTTTATTAGTGATATTGCAGAAGGTCTTGATGGTAAGGTATGTCTTTTTGCTGATGATGCTAAGATATGTAACAGGGTTGATGTTCCAGGACAGATAAGCCAAATGGCAAATTATTAAGGTAAACTAGAAAAATGGTCAGAATTGTGGCAACTGACATTTAATGTGGATAAGTGCAAGATAATGCATCTTGGATGTAAAAACCCAAGGGCAGAGTGCAGAATATTTTATAGAGTCCTACTCTCAACACTTTAGGGGTGATTATTTCTGATGACTTAAAGGTAGGCAGACAATGTAATAGAGCAGCAGGAAATGCTAGCAGAATGCTTGGTTGTATAGGGAGAGATATTAGCAGTAGAAAGAAGGAAGTGCTCATGCTATTGTACAGAACACTGGTGAGACCTCACTTGGAGTATTGTACGCAGTACTGGAGACAGTATTTCCAGAAGTATATTGATACTTAGAGAGAGTTCAGAGAAGGGCTACTAATCTGGTTCATTGATTGCAGGATAAAACTTACAAGGAAAGTTTAAAGGAACTTAACACATATAGCTTGTCGGAAAGACGAGGCAGGGGAATCAACACAGTAAAGGAGGAGGCTATATTTAAAAGAAGAAAAACTACCACAACAAGAGGACATAGTCTTAAATTAGAGGGGCAAAGGTTTAAAATAATATCAGGAAGTATTACTTTACTGAGAGGGCAGTGGATGCATGGAACAGCCTTCCAGCTAAAGTGGTAGAGGTTAACACAGTAAAGGAGTTTAAGAATGCATGGGATGGGCATAAGGCTATCCTAACTATAAGATAAGGCCAGGGACTATTAAAAGTATTTAGAAAACTGGGCAGACTAAATTGGCCGAATGGTTCTTGTCTGCCGTCACATTCTATGTTTCTATGTTTCTACCTTTACATCCTATTTTGGAGGTTTTCAAATGGGTAACCTAGCCACCATAACCACTAAAGTGCTTTATAGTGTTTATGGCGCTAGGAATCCTTCAGTGCCATCCCATGGTAAAGAGTCAAATTCTCTCTTAGTCTCTCTTCAGACATAAACAAAAAAAAAACAGATTCCTTGTGGCATCGAAACGTTGCACTTTGTTCCAATAAACCTGCTGAATTGATTCTTGAGTTCCTGGACTACAATTTTTGAACTGCCATTTCCCTGTAAATTACAATGTTAAATTCAACACTGAAATCACCTGTAACTTGTGATTACATCTTGATCCAGTTCAGACAAGGCAAATTAAACGCAAACATTGCACATGAGGAGGGAAAATAGAAAATTTGTTTCATTTCTCTTCAAAACCAAGAAAGTTTTGGTGGGGAAAAATTGTGATTGAAATCCCCTTCCACCTGAAGTCCGTGGATAGTCAATACATTGTTAAGCACAAATTTGCACACCATAATGTTAGTACATCCAAGCCTTAATAACAAACCAGTAATCAACCTCATGCTGATTAGTTGCATTAACAACAAAACAGCTGTCCATGAGTGGTTCACTGGCTTTGCATCTCTTCCTGAGCTGTGTTTCAAAGCTGTTGTATACTCCAAGGAATCCATGTTTAAAATGGAATAATGAGGCAAATACGTGATTATTTGTTGAACTAATTTGCATATGCCGACCCAGAATCCTTTGCAGTAGTAACATCACTGCAAATTTAGATTTCTATGGGAATTGCAAGTGCCAGGAAATGCCAGGAAACAGTTTCAGTATTTACTTAGTGCTGCAAACCATGAAATGTGTTTGCTGTTTATAACAGCTGTAGATCCTAGCATGAACAGTATTACCAAAAGTGTTTTCTAGAAACTTAAGGGAGGGGTAAGATTCTTATCAAAATATATCCTTCCTCAGCTTATCTGAGTATGTATGTATGTATGTATGTATGTATGTATGCATGTATCTATCTATCTATCTATCTATCTATCTATCTATCATCTATTATATTTCTCTATTATATATGTGTATGTGTATGTTTATTTCTTTAAAATACCTACAGTTACTCATAGTCAAGTACTTGTAGGCAATATAAACACACAAGAATCAGTAGTAAATAAGAAACAATTATTGCAGGGTTTGTTTTTTTTTTTTTTTGCGTTTTTGGTATTGTACTCTTTGAATCTTTCATAATTAAAGAAGTAACATTTTGGAGAAATACCTGAACAGATTGCTGAGTGACATCTCCATTACTGGATACGAGTCCACTGAAAGCGGCAATCAAACCATTTGCATCAACTTTATCTGATGCATACAGCTTTATTCCATCTGAAATATGATTGTTTTTTGTTATTATTTCATGTTCTAAAAACATTCAACATCAATAACAAAGGCTATGTATGATAAAAAATATCAAAGCAGACAAAAACCGAAAACAACAAACACTTGAACACAAAAAATGACATGCTAATTTAAATAAAACATGCTAAAGAAACTCTTTTTTTATCAGAATCAATATCCATCATTATCATTCAGATGTGAGTAATTGTTGTGCCTAATCATTAAATTCATGAAGCACCAATATCAAAAAGCAATAATCAATTACCCTAAGGTTTTTAAAGATATTGGTGGGCACCAAAACCCTATTCAGGATGAGTGAATTGAGTATTTGAGAAAGGGAAAAACAATGACATCAAGTACTTGTAAATAATCAATACAAACTTTCTTGATTATCAAATACCTAATTAATAATCATTCAGCTTAAAATTCAGCTTAAAGGACAACTCAAAGAAACAGCTTAAGAAAAACAGCTTAATACATCACTGTAAGAGAGAGACTTGCTGCACTCGACTGAGAGAATTGTCAGTCAGGCTTGAAGGGGACTCTCTCTTACTGGGAAATCAGCAGGACCAGCAATATGCGTCCAACTTTCTGACCACAGGCAATGCATTTATCCCATTCAGACTCCTCATCTGAGCTCCAGATGTTGCCATCCCAAATTTCAGGATCCCAATCGGGTCCTACTCTTGCTATTCTTATGAGTCCCAACCTTTCCCCTGACCCTAGTTACCTTCATCACAGATTTTTACAACAACATTTCATACAAATGCTTTTCTTTTTCTATATGCAGTAAGTATTACCCAACCTCTTTTCTGCCACTTATCTTTTGGAATCTCTTCCAAACAAGCAAGAATGTTAGTAGGCATTTCACTTTTCACACATTTATAGTCACATATAACAGTTGAACAAGCCCATTCACTGGCAATCAATGCATATGGCTCATCTTCCCATCCGGGAATTATGGCGTCATCACCCTGTTTCTTATTCTTTTTAAACATTGTGCAAATGTCTTTTGATTTTTCTTTTATATAAAAAAAAAATTTGCACTCCTTGGGGATATGTATTCTATGTGTTTATTTAATTTCACTTGAATGTGTACTAATTCAGACACCTGGTGTCTGGCTTATTGTCTTATTCTTCACTCAAGCCTGCCCAGGCAACTATTCTGGCTGCAGGTTTGCGCTCCCCTACCACTCTGGCTTTCTACACACTCTGTGAAGTGTATAGGGGGGTCTATGATCGAGCCAACAATCTCACACAGCCGTTTCATTCACTTCCCCAATCAGCACTGGCTTCCAGCACCTGTTAAGGCACGTAGGTGCACTGTTACTGACCAAGCATAATCACCCATTAATGTCAAAATTATCCCAAACAATCTTGTGGTATTGGTGACCTTATCTCAATAACTCGTATAGAGCTTATTGAATTAACAGCAGTGCAGCCTTATTCAGGACGCTAGCCTGTTTAAGTATACACTCCCCAATCAGCACTGTTATTCTACACACTGTTAGGGTGTATAGGTGCGTCTACTGACTGAGCACAACTTGTATCCTTTGAATCAATCTTCAGAAACACTCCTCAATATTTTTTTTTTCTTCGTGATGCAGTAGAAACTAGACCTCGTACAATGTTAGTTTCACTTTCACCTTCACTGAAAATCTACATAAACAGTTCTTAACAATTTCAAAATATAATTGTCTTATCTTTAAAATGCTAGCACCTCCCTAGCAACTATATTTCACAATACTCAACTCAATTTCCTCTCATCTGTCCGTGACGCCAAAATGTTGTGCCTAATCATTAAATTCACGAAGCGCCAATATCAAAAAGAAATAATCAATTACCCTAAGGTTTTTAAAGATATTGGTGGGCACCAAAGCCCTATTTGGGATGAGTGAATTGAGTATTTGAGAAAGGGAAAAACACTGACACCAAGTACTTGTAAATAATCAATACAAACTTCATTGACTAACAAAGAATTAATTAATAATCATTCAGCTTAAAATTCAGCTTAAAGGAACAGCTCAAAGAAACAGCTTACTAAAAAACAGCTTAATAAAAACAGCATAATACATCACAATAAGAGAGGCTTGCTGCACTCGACTGAGAGAACTTGCAGTCAGGCTCGAAGAGGACCCTCTCTTACTGGGTAATCAGCAGAACCAGCAATAAGCATCCGTTTTAAAGGTGGGTAGTACTCCAATGATTGCCACAATTTCTAGTCTTTTATAAGAAACTTAATAATCAAAAGGGGTGAATAGTCTGTACTTTTCCACCAAACCTTCTTATCAGTGCAGCCGAGCAGAGACCTTGTAAAAGTGTTGTTGTGGGACTGGGATTCTGGCCAACTGCAAATCCCATCCAACGCTTTTGCAAGGTCTTTGCTGGGCTGCAATTTTGGAGTGTTTCTGTAAACCGCATATTTTTATGAAAGAAATTGAAATTAAATAAATCATCATTTTTTTTTTCAGAACACAGTACAGGGAAGTGTAGGCCACATTACCTATTGTTCTAATATTCTGAAAATATAAATACATTATGTAACTAACAATCTGTTTGAAAAGCAAATTTTTATGTGCACAAAACAGCTTGTATGACATTCTAAAACTGATAAAAATGAATACGTCCATTTATGTACCCCAGTGGTTCTTTTACATATAGATAGATATATTGTGTAAAAAAGATGCATTACACTCACCTGTCATTGTTGCTAGCTGCTCCAATGCTTTGTCTGCTTTGGTACCTAGTGCAATTGTGTGAATAATTACCCCACTGGCCTCTACCTCTGGGAAACAAGAACTAATTCTACTATCTTCACCATCTGTTAATAGTATAATTTCTGTACCATGTGTGGATCCGTCAAGCCTTCCGTTTACCTGAATATTTAACACAGACATTTTAAATAAGAAAAAGAAATGTGTAGTATATAAATCCAACATGTATTAAAATACTACAAATCAAATATATATTACTATTTAAATGTTAGAATAGTATATAAGTCTTCATAAGAAATACTTACAGGGTAACTGCCACTTCTCAGTTTTTTCATATTGTTTACCGATTAACCTATACCTTTACCTATAATTAACACATATGTGTTTGTGATGTATGATATCTAAAAATATATTTAGACATTCTGACCTCATTATCCTGAAACTGGGTGCCTCCATTTAGTCCCCTAACATATTAATTGGGGACAGAACCAGATATGCCTTAAGGCAGAGTAGGTATCTGGTTACAGGTGTCTGTCTTGTGTGGGAATGCCGGGTTACAAAACGTATAATGTGCCTTTTTGGAGCATAGGTGGGGTGGTAAACCTCCATTATACTAATGTGGGTGTGGTATTGACTTCCAAAGGTTTTTTTTATTTATATATATATATATATATATATATATATATATTTATATATTTTAATGTGATGACTGACTAGCAAGTTCTTACCTGTCATTTTATGTATAACCATCATGCCAGCAAGCTTTTTTTAAAACTAAAAAAAAACAAACCTATTTGCCAAGAAATTTAGTTCAAGATGTAAGCTTGTTGTATGATTTATATTATACCTGGAGACCTGCTTGTATTCCTGAACAAATGTTTGTTCCCCCTAAAGAAGCAGTTGGAAGAAGTGACTTTAGATGTTCACGCTGTCTCTTATCGGTTATTTTTACTAGCTCTGACTTTATATTTGCAGCACTTGAAAACACAACAATTCCAAGATGGGAGTCCGTTTCTATAATTTGCATGATGTACATTTCGGAAGCTTGATACATTCGATCCATGCGATTGTACTGTAGTGATAAAAAGATGTAACAATGAAAATTTTATATTAGAAGGCTCCAGAACAAAATGCAAATCCATTCTGATATTAGCAGAATAATTCATAATAAATGGGAAAAAAAATAATTTGTAATTTTATCTGAACTGTTGAAAAATTAACACATTAATTCGATATGAAAATGGTAATAAAGTAAGACACATATCTTACACACCTTTAATCACTGGTGCAACAAAGGAAACTTTAAGGACAAATGCAACAAAAAAAAAAAAAAGATTTCAAAGACTAAAACCAAATACTGCAGACAGCTAACTGGGATCGGAGAGGGCCAAAACATATATTGAACATGCAAACAGTGATATGCACTAAAGTAAGAATTTTAACATTGCCAAATTTTAAATTTTTTCTGAGTCAGCTTTGACTGTAGTTTGCTGAATTTGGCATTTAATTTGAAATTCACTTTCAGAGATATTCATTAAAGTGATAATTTAAAGTGAATTCAAAGTGAATTTCAAATTTTAAGTAAAAAACTGAAATTATCTCCATATCAGATAACGTTTCTGTTAAACTATTCTGGACTTAAAGATGAAATTCACTTTGAATTCTCACTTTAGTAAATAATCTGTTTGAATTTATTTTTTTGATTATGCAAATTTCACTCTGACAAAATAATGATACTTCTATTGACAAGGTAAGTTACTAAACTGGTAATCCCATATGTTCCTAAATCCTAGGGTGACCAACCTGTCAACATGTTTATGTTAATAAACTTAGTTAATCAAATGAGATGTCTGTAATTTTGGAATCAAAGTGAATTAAAAGTGAATTTCAAATTTTAATCCAAGGCAGATGAACTGGAATATTAGATATTGTTTCCAGTTTGGCTATTCTGACCTAAGATTTTAAATATATTTTGAACTCACTTTTAATTTTCTCTTTAGTGGATTATCTTGGAGAATTACTTTTTTGTGGAAGAATAGGAAATGGACTAACCCAGTTTTTTGGGCTTTCTTATAAATCAACTTAAAAAACAGATGTGTGCGTAAAGTTGAATTTGAGAGACTTGAGTGTATTTTTAATCTAGATTACCATGTTAATAGATAACCTTTACATTTTGTCAATTAAATATAATATCAATAATTAAAAATGTTGTTATTAAGAAAAGTGAATGTACTTACTCCATACATACTTCCTGATATATCAAGCACCAAAGTAACTACTCTGTCCTTGAACTGCAGAAGTGAGATAACAGGAGGTGGTATGTTGGTGCTAGTTAACGGAGTAGTGGACATCATGTCAGGAGATTTCATGATCACTTCCCATGTACTTTGTTGGTTACAGTGTTTATTTTGTTGGTTGGGAGCTTCTGAGTTATGGCTGTCTTTATCACAGAATTCTTTGACCTTAAAAGTAAAGTTAACAATAAAAAGTTAATCAACCAAAAAAATGTTAAGTAATATGCCTTGTGTAGAATAACACATTGCAGTGTGAATCGCTCTGGCACCCAGCATGATATCAGTAATGGCTGGGATGCTCATGGTTTGACAGCTCATTGCAAAATCTTAGGGTTAACTTTACTCTCTAGAAAGACAGAAATTTGACTGAGCTCATTCACCGCCTAGATTCTACTCAAAAATGCAATGTCTACCAGCTTAACCAGTTGACACTTCAGGTATCCACTTTCCAACTGAGACTGCCATAAATATGCTTGACTACATAATTATATATTAATTTAAAAAGACTTCTCAAAATCTCAATGTGTCTTTTGAGGAATAATACTCACATGACTAAGTCCTTGAGCATACATAATTGATTCTTTGGCAGGAGAGTTTAGATATGGGATAAACATGCAGTTATGGTCATAAAGACCAGTTTCCGGGCTATATCGACAGTCAACCACTTGGTCATTTGTTCCCGGCACCAACATTTTATTCATGCCATTGATACCTAGAGAACACCTGGATACCAAACATACATTAGAATTAGTGTAATTTTAAAACACACTAGCTTCAGTTAAAACCTTTATGTGAAGCAGACAAACATAATCATTTTATATCATCGCAGACTTGGCAGAAGTGAAATACAGCAAAGGCTGTACAATTAATTCTAGATGATCAGTTTCCAGTTTAGATAGTTAATGATGCAAAACATAAAGTAATACATTGTATAATTAAACACGGAGATCAATTGCGCAAGTAAGGGTGAAATGCTAGATCATGTTGACATCTGAAACAAATTACATTCTTGATTACCCTAATAAAGGTTCCTACAACCATAACCAGATGCAAGTGTATACTAGAGATGGCACTTGATGGCAACAAAGATTTATCCAGTACTACAAATCTCATTGCAAACCATATTGTTTCCATGTACCTTAACACCTTCTAGCAAATTCTTAATAGTTTAGTACAGTTACACTTACAAACTCAAATTGCACTCGGCAATCCAACGGCTTGCACCCTTTAGGAGCAGTGTAACCACATGCTGAGGTTGTCCGTCCATTTGAGGATTCCATGTTGTAGGAGGAGTAAGTGATTATTGTGCACTATGTATGGTTTATTTAATTTCAATATATACACCAAAGACATTTGAAGGATTTTTTCCAAAGTGGTATCAAAGTGGAGCCAAAGGTGGGCTCAAATACATGTGAATGTATTTCTATTTGATTCAATTTCACTTATTTATCAAAGACTGAAAGGAAGAGTATGTCGAAATCCAGAGCAGGGATTGTACTGTCTGAAGTGCATGTATCAGAGATTGTCATAGCTCTTGAAAGTGTAAGTGCAATAATTGTCTTTTTTTGTTGGTTCTGTTTGTATTTTACGTATATGCATCATCTGAGAAACTCATGTTACATCTCCCACCTTCTAATCATGTATGAATATTTGCTGGTTTCTCAAGAGTTTGAAAAGTACATTTGCAACAGTATTACCATGACGTTTGTGAACAGAGGGCAAATGTAACTGTACACGATTTTATTCACAGAAACGCTCCATTTTGTAACAGGTTTTGTTAACCTGATGACCTACTCTTGTACAAATACTGATAAGACAATTAAAATAAGTTTATAATGGCAGTAAATATAGATCTGCATATCATTTTCTTATGTGGGATTTTTTGTTTTCCTTTTATATATTTTAATTTTCAAGATTGCTTTTTTTTTCATATGATAAAAAAACATAATGAACAAAGCTGCAATACAGTGCAGATAAAACCCTATTTACAAGAAACCTACCTTGTAGCCTCCACTTTACCTTCTGTAGAAAGGTAGTAAGGATGTTCGAAGTTGTATTCGTCAAAAACGCCCCACCGAAGGTGAGCCCATTCATGGACAAATAGTCTTCCTGGAATTACATGGACCAATTTTAGGTTTACCAAGAAAATTTATTTGATACACAAACATTTGATGCATAGATTAATATAAATGTAACCATTTAATATAAAGTATGTAGATTGTATTTTACATTTTGAAGTTAAATCACTGTATTTATGCAGCCCTAGATATACATCCCATGGCTGTGATTTATTTATTTATTTATGTATAAAATATTTTACCAGGATGGAAACATTGAGATTTATCTCATTTTCAAGTATGTCCTGGGTCTTTGTCCACAAAACATTGCATTGTTACAATAGGATACAATATTACAAAAATACAATATACAAACTATATATATATATATATATATATATATATATATATATATATATACTCACATATATAAATTTAATATATAACAGGTAATAAATATATTCAACCATGACAGGTGCATTCTGTGCTGAGGTATAGGAAGAAAATGTAATAGAGCAGCTGGAAATGCTAGCAGAATGCTTGGCTGTATAGGGAGAGGTATTAGCAGTAGAAAGAGGGAAGTGCTCATGCCATTGCACAGAACACTGGTGAGACCTCACTTGGAGTATTGTATGCAGTACTGGAGACCATATCTCCAGAAGGATATTGATACTTTATTGAGAGTTCAGAGAAGGGCTACTAAGCTGGTTCATGGATTGCAGGATAAAACTTACTAGGAAAGGTTAAATGATCTTAACATGTATAGCTTGGACGAAAGACGAGACAGGGGGGATATGATAGAAACATTTAAATACATAAAGGGAATCAACACAGTAAAGGAGGAGACTATATTTAAAAGAAGGAGAACTACCACAACAAGAGGACATAGTCTTAAATTAGAGGGGCAAAGGTTTAAAATAATATCAGGAAGAATTACTTTACTGAGAGGGCAGTGGATGCATGGAATAGCCTTCAAGCTGAAGTGGTAGAGGTTAACACAGTGAGGGAGTTTTAGCATGCGTGGAATAGGCATAAGGCTATCCTATACTTAACATAAGGCCAGGGACTAATTAAAAGGATTTTGAGGGGGGCGGCGCCTGACTTCCGGCGCGAATGGCGGCTTTCTGAGGGAGCTCCGTCCTCGGAGGCACAGACCCGGCAATCATCAGCACCCGCAACCGGCTCTCACACACCCACCCGGCCACCTCGCAGCTCACCCACGGTACCTCACCACATAACGATGGGGGGCGGGCGGAAAATAAAGCAGGGAGCTGCAGAAGTAGCTCCGATATTCCGGAGCCGCAAAGATGGCGGCGCCACGCGGGAGGAAGAAGATGGCCGCGAATATGACTCAGACTCAAGTGACAGGAGCAGAACAATGGCAGCTACACCCCTCACCAAAGAGGACCTCCGCCAGCTACTAAGTGACATTAAGGCAAATATGGCTACAGAATTTGACAGGCACCTCACACCCATCAGAGAAGGCCTGATTGATTTGACCCACAGAACCTCCACAATTGAGGAACAACTGGACCTGACAGTTACACGCACAACAGCAACTGAAAATGCCATAACCGCACTACAAGAACAGCTCCGACAGTTAGAGGAGGCACAAGAGGACCTGAACAACCGGTCCCGCCGAAATAACGTCAGGATACGTGGAATACCAGAAACGGTCACAATAGAGGCACTGGGCCCAACGCTGCGAGAGCTCTTTTGTGGCCTGCTCCCAGAGGCCACGCCGGCGGAACTCCTACTAGATAGAGCGCACAGGGCTCTCCGAGCACCTATGCCCAATGCAACCCAACCCAGGGATGTTATCATAAGAGTGCACTACTTCCACATTAAAGAAGCACTCATGCAAGCGGCACGAAACACCCCCCTACAAATAGAAGGTCACCAGATCTCCTTCTACCAGGACCTGGCCCCGAGCACCCTGCGCAAAAGGAGGGAGCTGCGGCCCCTCACTCAGGAGCTCACGAGACAACACATCCGCTACTCATGGGGGCACCCATTTAAGCTGCAGGTCCGGAAGAACAACCGCACCTACACCCTATACAACACCGCGGAAATGGCAGATTTCGCAGAGAGCCTCGGCCTGGATCCCACAACTCTCGCCACGGACCCGAATCCCAGAAGACACGACAGAGGCCCTCCGCCCAGAAATGCACCACCGACAGCCCCGGCACGCCAGATACCGAATAGCCCACGCATCAGGGCCGACAACTAAACGGACCGACAACCACTCACCACTCGACACACCAACAGAAGACCGACATACCAAATAAGAAATAAGAAACGACACGAACTACTCTCAAGAGGATCCTGGTCACCACAGCTGACAAAGTACCCGAACACGAAACCTGGACTGACTAAAGAACATTGGCAATCCCACACCTTGATAATGGACTGGAAACAGCCTAAACCGCTGACAACTCCAAGCGCCAGATAAGCTATAATTAACAAACTCTCTCCTTGCTTTATATAAGGTTTCCTGTTCACTATTTGGTTGCTAGGACTCATTCGGTAGACAGTACTTATATGTCTCCAGTCACTAGGCATCCTTCCATAAATGGAAATTATAGACTCAGGAATGTGGATAGCACGCACTAGTACCCTGCTTGGCACCAACCCACGTAGACATAGACCACTGCCACCCAGGGTGCAAAATGGAACAGCTGCCCCACATTCACCCACCACATAGGTACCCTAGATACCGCAGCATAAAATACCACAACCTAGCACAAAAACGGAACAGACACCCATAGGGAGGCACACTCTGGGCAGGGAGGGATGGCTGGGGCACCCTCCAATAATGGGCATAGCAGGCGCCCAATACAAGACAAATTTCGGGAGTACACCTCAAAACACTGACGGCTCCCGTGAGCGTAAACACTTCCCCAGGAGACCCCATAAAGCAGTATCCAGGAACATACTCTGCTCCCGCACAAAACACACTGGGACCCAGGAGATGTAGGCACACCCTCCACACAGAAAATCGGGGACAACACCACGAGCACCAGAGAGAATGAGCACAAACGGCACGCCCTGGGAAACAGCAGGACTTAGATAGGCACACCCAGAGCACATACAACCCCTAGGGCCCAATGCAAGCTGGGGCACCACCAAGGATAGGACCTGACTAATACAGGGAGGGTCTCACACTAACCCACAAGACTTGCAAAGACAAAACACCAGGCAACCGAGGGACCGGGAAAGTGTAGCTATCACCCAACCCCCCCATTCCTTCAGCCTCCCTAGCCCAGGGACCTCCTAGGGCTCCCCACAGGGAGACACCATAGGGGAAGATACGGAACACGGGAACCCCTGGATACTAAAGCAGAGGAAATGTATATAACTGAATTGAAGTTGATGTTAAACTGTTGTGTTACAATGTAAAACTGTTACTCATTATTTTTCAGTTACCCGACACACCCCACCCCACCTCAAGTGCTGACGAACGCCACTTACAGCAGACGGCATCCTGACGACATCTTACGACTGGACGGTGACAGCACACCCTCACCACGGCACCATTATTAGATGCATTAACGACCAGACCAATGCCCCACGGGCTCACAAGGTACAACCCTACATACACACGGCACGACACGCAGAGGGCTACCCTCGCGGACGCAACGCCTTCACAACGCTGACCGACCACAGCACACAAGGTAACGCGGACGACTACTGAAAACTGCCTCTGGACGACCCAGACCGGACGGTCGCCAACCCCAGACACACACACACCTACCCGAACTCACGGGGAAACCCACGGAGCGGTCGGACGCTTCGCCCCACTACCTACTGGCCTTCGGATAAGCCCAGTAGCACACTCTACCCATTTCTCCCCCCCACTGCCTTAACCCAGGCTAACACCCTCAACCCTCCTGCCCCCCCTTCCCCCCACCCCTCGCGGCCCGCGGCCACCCGGACGTGCAACTCAAGACACTCCATCACTGCAAAACCGCAGAGACCGCCACGCTCCTACAGATAACATGCCTACACAAATACGCTGCATCTCCATCAACGCCAAAGGGTTGAACTCCCCTAACAAGAGGCACGGCATACTACGCTGGGCACATAAACAGCAAGCTGACATAGTCCTCATACAGGAAACCCACTTCACAATCAACCGCATGTTCCCCCTCACTAACAGATACTACACACAAAGCTTCCATGCTCCCTCCCCAGACACCAAGACCAAAGGTGTAGCGATCCTTTTGAGAGCAAACAGCCCCCTCACAGATATCACTTGCTCCAAAGACCCGAAGGGTAGATACATCACCATACGGGGAAAAATAGGCACAACACAGTACGCCTTTTCATCGCTCTACGCACCCACAACACCAGACCCAACCTTCTGGCAACAATTAGCGACTCACCTCAACACGTACTCAACCACACGACTTATAGTGGGCGGGGACTGCAACGCAGTACACACACCTGCCGTAGATCGGGCTTCAAGCGCCAAAACACGAACTCGCCCAAACCAAAGCGACGCCCTCTTCGCACAATTCCTGGCTTCCCATAAACTGATTGACATATGGAGGGCACAACACCCGACCACCAAAGATTACACTTTCTACTCCCACCCACACAGATCCTATTCACGCATTGACCACTTTCTCATCTCACCAAACTTACTATCTCAAATCACCAAATCGGAGATTGGACCTATCTCCTGGTCCGACCATGCCGAGATAACAATCACTCTAAGCCTACCAACCATACATACACACTGGTCATGGCGACTTAACCCAATACTCCTCCACGATCAACTGATCAGAGACAAAATAACTATCGCAATCAAAGATTATTTCGAGTTAAACTCACCCACAACGACCTCACCTATGACCCTCTGGACAGCACATAAAGCAGTCATCAGAGGCACACTCATCAGCCTAGCCACCCATAAAAAAAGACAAACACAACGACAAATACTAGAAACGATGACAGACCTCCGCCGACTAGAAACGGAACACAAAAAGAACCCTAACCCGACCACCCTGTCCAAACTCACGGCGATCAGAAACC